TCCTAAAGATTAATGCCGGACCAGAAGTTATTCAAGTTGACACCCAGCCCCACTGTAAAGATTGGTAGCAGTAGTGTCAGAGATGCAAACTCGTCGCATGAATGAATGAAATACCAAGAATACAAGATAACGGTTACTGACGACTATGAACATACGAGATCAGAAGACGTTGACCAGACGATACGATGTTTAAAGCTATAATAAAGAAATGAAACTGTGAGTTTGCTTTCTCATCATTATATGTGTGCATGTATCGTCTACGCGAGAAGCCACCTCCACTGTCTAGTTATCCAACTATCACACAGAGGAAGCAGTACTCCAGACAGGGTGTGGACAAAGAATGTCGTGTATGATACGAATAACTTTGAATTTGCAAAACAAACCTAAAAAATTGAAACACAACATGTCACATCTGCAAATTAATTTGTCAGATACTAGAATATATATATATATATATATATATATATATATATATATATATATATATATGTGTGTGTGTGTGTGTGTATATATATATATATATATATGTGTGTGTGTGTGTGTGTGTGTGTGTGTTTGAGTTAAGCTTTGAAATTAAATGTTGTAAAAAAGACAACGAACAAGTCAGTAAGAACCAAAATATTGGGATTTGCCCGTGTTTCCTAGCTTCACAAGAGCTTTTATTTTGAGGACTTCGTGAAACTCAGAATAGCGTCAATCGAGGGAAATATGTAGAACTATGGCATTTGTTGGCACAAAGGGATGGATGCGTGGCTGATCCTTTAGCTATAGTGATAACCTGAGATAACTAGGTACGACGAAGTCTTCTCCTCTTTCTTAATGTTTACCAGCTGCAAATGCCAGCTGAAAATACTGGTTGTTCGTTTACTTCTGGACTTTGGTCTTGATCTAGAACTAAAGCATAACTATTTTACAGATTTAGCTTATTTGCCTACAGAACCACCTAAATCAAATTAGTAACAAAGGGGAGGAATATAATATGAAAATAAACACTACGAAGACAGAGACAATGATGATAGGAAGACATAAAGACAATTTAAAAATACAATAAAAAAAAAAAAAACACCCTGAGACAAACAGAGGAATTTAAGCATCTAGGAGCAATTTTCTCATCCGACGGAAAACTGGACAGAGAAATTAGCTCAGATGTGCCAAAGCTAATCAAGTAATGGGGCAACTATCTTCCCTGTTGACACACAAGCAGATACCTCGAAGTACTAAACCGAATCTTATCAGAACTATTTTTTGGCCAACACTATGCTATCAATGCCAAACGTGGACACTTACATCCTCTAATGAACGTAAAATTGTGACAACAGAGATGAAATGCCTTAGAAGAGCTGCAGGAGTTTCAAGGAAAGACAGAATACGAAATCATGAAATCAGACGAATGCTAGGAGTAAAGCCAGTCTTACAGGTCATCAAAGAATAACAAATGAAGTGGTTTGGACACCTAACAAGAATGCCCTGGTTCTATCTGCCACAGCAAGCCACACTTAAACGTTACAACGGGTATAGAGCGAGTGGAAGACCTCGGAAAAGTTGGAGTGATGGCATTAAGAACAGCTTTACAGAAATGAACATCAGTCTTAAAAGTGCTCTTGACAGAGCTCATTAACGAACATTACATCTCCCCCCCCCCCCCCCCCCCCCCCGACACTTCGATGAGGTAAAAGGTGGAAGAGGAGAAGAAGAAGAAGAAGAAGAAGAAGAAGAAGAAGAAGAAGAAGAAGAAGAAGAAGAAGAAGAAGAAGAAGCTTATTTGTATACAGACTGTTAGTTCATTGTCTCTCAGGCAGATGCACTCCGACCTGGAAAGAAACATCACTGATCAGTCCACTACTAGGACATGCTTGTTGGGGGTAGGTGAGGGTGGTGTATTCTTGACACATCTCCTCCTCCCCCCATCCACCCCAAAGGGTCCTGGAAACCAAACGGACACGGATGAAATTGATCCTCTCGACCATGGGATCTTTCCATTGGTATATTTTCTAAGGCGGAAGTGGAAGTTTCCTCAAGTGAAAGTAGCGTTCTGTTGTCACTAGAGACGAGCACATTTTTTCAAAGCAGATAACTGCAGTAAATAGATATTTATAACTTATTTATAATAATTTATAATTTGTTTATAATATATACCTGTATCTACTGACTTGCTTGTCCCCAAGTATACTCGTGTGATTCAGGATTACAAGTATTGACAAGAGTCACATAAAACACTAACAACTGAGAATAGTCACCGGCATCTCTGCATTGCACTTCAAAAGTTGCCATTTTGAAAACCATTTTAAAAAAAAAAAATCGTTTCCTTAGAAATATAAATTATTCTTACAGCTTCATTTACAAATAAAAATATAGGCTTCCTGAAAAGGGACACACAGGACCGTTCAGAAAATAATACCAGGTTTGGAGTTTGGAAATCATAGAGTTAATAAGGGGGCAGTTGGTTGCTACAGGCACAGGAACACAAGAAGAAAAGCACAGAAAGAAACAAGTCATTCTAGGACGATGTCGCTCTTTTCATCAAAATCACAGGTTAACGCTTTATATTTTTGACAAGACAATGTTTAAAGAGTTTTAAAAATGTGCATTCGTCTAATATGTGTTTGTTTCCTGTAATTATGTTTGAAGCTGAGAAATGGATTAATTTATTATTTCCTGTTAATTATGGTGTATTTGAATACTCAGAAATTGATAAAGTATTCTTCTACTTCTTCTCGTTCTCCTCCTCCTTTTCCTCCTCTTCATTCACATTTAACAGCTGTAAAGTCCCTTAGAAAGTTCTGGTTGTTTGTCTACTTCTAGACTTTGGTCTTGTTCCAGAACTTGAGTTACTTTTGCACATATCTGGTTAATTTGTATACAGACTATTGAGAATTGACTTCACAGTACTGGGGACACTCCTGTAAGTGCTCCCCCCTCCCCACCCCCCATCTTCAACAGCAAGCCAAGAGTTTTACTTCTGATGGCACCAGTAACTCTCTGATTGTATGTCTGACTCACCTTTCTCCTGAGTGTTAAGCATAGGCCACATCCACTGGTAACTCCCTGATTGTATGTCTGACTCACCTTTCTCCTGAGTGTTAAGCATAGGCCACATCCCCTGGTAACTCTCTGATTGTATGTCTGACTCACCTTTCTCCTGAGTATTGAGCATCGGCCACATCCCCTGGTAACTCTCTGATTGTATGTCTGACTCACCTTTCTCCTGAGTGTTAAGCATAGGCCACATCCCCTGGTAACTCTCTGATTGTATGTCTGACTCACCTTTCTCCTGAGTGTTGACCATCGGCCACATCCCCTGGTAACTCCCTGATTGTATGTCTGACTCACCTTTCTCCTGAGTGTTAAGCATAGGCCACATCCCCTGGTAACTCTCTGATTGTATGTCTGACTCACCTTTCTCCTGAGTGTTAAGCATAGGCCACATCCCCTGGTAACTCTCTGATTGTATGTCTGACTCACCTTTCTCCTGAGTGTTGACCATCGGCCACATCCCCTGGTAACTCTTTGATTGTATGTCTGACTCACCTTTCTCCTGAGTGTTGAGCATCGGCCACATCCCCTGGTAACTCTCTGCAGTGCCATTCTCATATCGTAATAATCTATGTGTGCCTCTGCACTGTTCACTCACTCCCAAAGGGCCTTCACAACATCTAGCTTGTCATACATCAGAACTAATTGGTCTATCTACCTGCTCATTTCCCAACACACCGGCATAATCTGGAGAAAATATCCAAAGGTTGCTAACTATACAGGACCTCTGAAGTGATGCTTCTCACTCTCAGAGCTTGCCCATTTGCACCTTCCTCAACATGCTCTGTGAGTCAGTTGCAATAGTAGGTGTGACTAGCAAGACCCACTCACATTAACAGAGTATTCCACAATTAGAGTAGGGAATTTCAGGACCATTATTGCATCGCATGTATTTAACGCAGTTCTCAGATGTTCATCATTCCTTCAAAGTCAGAGTGCGTCCGTCTGAGAGACAGGGAATCAACAGACTGCATACAGATAAGTTACATCTGTAAAAGAGATATGTATGCAACACTCAGGTTCTGAAACACGACTAAAGTCAAGTGATGAATGAACAGCCAGAACTTTCCACCAGAGTTTACCACCAGCGAACGCAAAGAAGATATTCAGCTTTTGATCTGTCTGCATTTATTTTCTCTTTTATAACAATTCCCTTCATGATTTATATAAAGTCCTCACCTTCATTATGTATGTTTAGTCATTGTTCCTAACTGCATGTGAGGCTCCGCTCACAGCCCGACATATTTAACCGACAAAGCTACCCCCAAGCGACCCCCAGGAGATGGTAGTGCTCCTTTACTGGGAAATACTGGTCTAGCCACTATATTTTCACGGCTCTTATCTCACTGCTAAAAGAAGTTGCTGTTTCAGGCTTCAAATATTAAGGAAGATAAAAGTGATATATATATGTTTTTTTTTCAAGGGACTTTAAAATAATAATAGGTTCTAGGGTAAATAACTTGAGTGGTATGTTAACTTCCAGTGATTGTCATGTTAGTTATTAGAAGTACACAGAAACTTTGCTTGCTTCTTGTACCCCACCAGGACACCACACAAGTGACAAACACCTGGTGACACAAAGTGCCACCACACGGATGATGATCACATGTGGAGAAGTCCTAGAAACCCCTTTCAGCCGCCGTGGTTGTGGCCTAGCTATGTTCAGGGCCCCTGGCAAAACCCGGGTAGGGGGGGGGGAAGGGGGGGGGCCTTCAATAACAAAAAAATTGCATCCCACAAGGGCATGATGGGTGAACACATAAAAACCTTGTTGCAAATTGCCCATTACACCTAGACATTGTAGCCAGAATGACTTCTGCAAAATTCACCCCTCTCTTGGCCACCATTTGGGAGGTGGCCTTGTGACAGACACCAGACAGATACATAGATTTTCAGTTTGTAATTAACAATATTTTCCTCCCAGTGATACCAGGAAACACAATCTTCAGCTGATCTTCCAGTATAGCATGCAGAGATTTGTAAATCTAGGCGTTATTGGAGAAGGTAGCTATGGCATGGTATTCAAATGTCTGCACAAAGCATCAGGCCAGATGGTAGCTGTCAAGAAGGTTCTAGAGATAGAGACAGATGAAACTGTCAGAAAGATTGCTGCAAGGGAGATTCGCATGTTGAGAGTAAGAAAATGTTTGTTGTGAATTCTTTAAATATTCTGTTGTTGTTTCCTTGACTTCTTCTTAAAGTCTGCGCTGTGTGGCGTTGGTAGTCATGTCTGTTCACAACCTTCTGTCTTGTACCCTTTCAGTCAACTGTGACACAGATGATCCTTCATGCCATGATGTCAAACTTACCAGTATTTTTTCTTTCAGCCTTTACTAAAAGTAACTTTTTCAAATCAGAGACTCGCAGCTACATCTGATTAACCGAATGTACCCTCTGGGTTTCTGCCTGAAAGTTTGACCAATCTGATTTAAAAATCCTAACCTGAATAGCAAACCAGCAGTGCATTTCTCAGATACCCTGCTTAGCCTCTTTTGAAAAAAAAAATTTGAATTGGAGCAGGGCACCATTAATGATAATGGCCACTCCAGCTTGGTGTAACCTGCAATCCTTTCCAAGTAAAGAGTCAGTGAGTACACACAGCCACATTATTTTAGATGTTCTGATATGAGACATGAGTTGAGAAAACTTCTTCTTCTTCTTAAAGCCGTGTTGCATTGGTAGATCCTCCATGCCAGGATGTAAGACTGTCCAGCCAAAAGATCCCCAGTCCGGTTCTCTCTGTTTTCTCTAATTCCTTCACACTCCAACTTTCTTACCACACATCTCCATAGCTTCCAAATAAGTTTTCACTAATTGACCAACTGTCCATGAGAAAAGATACTTTAGAAAATATGTCAAGAGTGTACCTCCAGAATTATTCATATTGGTTATAAATTTGATCTTCCATCAGGGCGAATTCTTAAAACTTATCTAGACTCAAAGATTGTCTATGCCTATATCTGACTCTTCTTAGCATTGATTGGCTGTAAACTTCAGCAGAAATTTGTGGTTATTTGTCCACTTCTGGACTTTGGTCTTTTTTCCAGGACTTGATAATTATAAGCACATCCATTTTATAGATCTGTCTTTTTGTGTGTGCATATTGTTCATTCCTTACCTTTTAGACACTCCAGGTTTGAAGCAAATGTTTACATTTTTAAATTGGCCAAGTCTCCGGTTAGGGAACTTATTCCTAAGATGATAACAGAGAGCTTTAGATAGGTGTTGGCCAGTATAAGCACTGGCATTGGTGCACCCCCACATGTGGTTTAGCACCTTCATATGGTCAGTAGTGGTTGGCACCTTTAAATCTTTCCAGGCGATAGTCTTATATTGCGCTGTGAGGAGACATGGGACTCACAGCCCATGGCGATGGCCAGTGTGACTAGCAAGACCCAACTGTGTAAGAAATGTTTTCCACAATTATAGCACGGGATTTCAGAACCGTTGTTGTCAACATTTGTGTTTAGTCTGTTTCTTTTCAGATGCTCAACTCTCATTCTTTCTGCAATAATTTCTTCCTTTATTCTCATTCCCTCCCTGATGTGCCCCCTACACACAACATGGTTCATTTCATTTTGTTCCTATAAGTTCACCTCAGTAACTATATCATTCTTGTCCTGTTTGCACACATCTTTATATTGTAGTAGAAGTCAGCATCAACATCTGCACATCTTTAATTCACCACAGAGGATGTCTTTAGGGACTCTCCCATCCTTCATTCTCCAGATGTGACTTAGCCACCTAAGCCTTCATAGACTGAGCATTGAGAAGACTGTACTCAATACTTTCAGTATTATGCTGGTCACTTTTACTTTCCCAGGCTTCCTGTACCCAGTTTCACCAGAATCCTCCCGTTACACTGCAAGATGCTGAGTCACCAGCTGCTGTTGACTGTCTGATCAACTCCCTCCACCTGTGACGGTCAGTAGCAGTTAACTTCATGGTTGCATGCCTTGGGCCTATCTAGTCAGTCGAGTTCTGTATTCAAGTCTTTCATGGTCTTCTTCTTCTCCTCTTCCCCTGTGCTGAGCCCTGCAGTATTGCTTTCTAGAGGCTGGTAGATCTTTTTACAAGTCTGTATCATTGCATTTTCCGCTTTTCACCCAGTTTAGGAGGTTTGAAGTTTGAGCAATGGATCAACATCATGGCACACGGTTAGAAACCCTTAAGTGCTCCATTCTTCTTCTAACTCAAGTCTGTGTCCGAAAAAGCTTAGCACAGTGCACAGGCTCTGTAGCACGGGCTGGGATCCTGAAATACTTTGGGTAGATTTTAAACTCCAAATTTTGCCTGGGCAGCACTGTTAGGCTACTCTTTTCGATTTCCAACTGCCAAGGGATTTTTTTACGTGCGCAACAATGCACTCTTAGTTTAGGAGACAGAATTTAACCCAGAACCAAACTAGTCACAAACAGTTAAACCCTTTTAGTAAAAGTAAATAAAAGTAAGGGACTTTTTCCATGCTTTCAGGTGTATTGGGCATATAGGGCTAGACCTATATTTTGTAGTCCAATCAGCACTCGCTGGATGATGCAGTCACCATCCTTTTGGTTGTCTTTACTTTCCAGGACTGTTCCTGTTAGCTATTTAAAGCTGGGTCGACCTATAAGCGAAATAGTATAGAGTATAGCTGTGATCAGATTTGAACCCATGAGCAGTCAAGCATCTAGCTTCCAATACCCAGTAAGTGCTAGCTGTCAAAGCAAGACCCATTGTATTGACAAGCAAAGTGCTAAGACCTTTTAATCAAGCAATGATGTCTTTTTGTTGCAGCTGCTTCAACATGAAAACCTAGTCAAACTTATAGAGGTGTTTCGAGAACAACGAGAGCTGCATCTTGTGTTTGAATTTGTGGACCACACACTTTTAGATGAACTCGATCGCTGCACTAAGGGGCTTGAGGAAGATATGTGTCGGAAAATGTTGTGGCAGGTGTTGAAGGGGACCCAGTTTATTCATTCACGCAATGTAAGAGATTCATTTTAATGTCTATTCATTTTTACTGGAGACTAATTTTTATTGTTTCGGTATATGCAGGATTTTTGTTTTTCAGTCGGTACGCAACAGTGTGCAGTACCAGCATCATTTTGTTTCCCAGTGCTATTGTAAAAGACATTTGTGGTGAGTACCGGCACCATTGTAAGACACTTTTTGAAAACAAAAAAAGACCAGGGTATATGTATATATGTGTGGGTTATCTTTTCTTCTGCCTTTCTAGCCCCCAATGGAGCATATGCCCTCAACCAACTCATTCCAAATTGTTCTATCCTTTTGATATCGCATGCAGCACTCCCCATGTCCTCCCCATCTTTCTAACTTCATTCCCCAGCTCCCTTCTCCGTTTGTTTTTTGGCCTTCCTTTATTCCTTCACCCCTGTGGGTTCCAATGCAAAGACATTCTAGTTATGCTGTTCTCAAGTTTTCTCAATGTGTGTCCTATCCAATGCCAGCGTCTTTTCCTCACCTCTTTTTCCACTGGAGCTTGCTTAGTTCTCTCCCAAAGCTCTACATTAGTTATTCTATCATACTATTCAGTTCCCTCTTTTCTGCGCAGGCACCAGTTAATAATTGTTGTAGTTTATTTGTAATTGCCTTAGTTGTTCTCCATGTTTCTGCCCCATAAAAAAGCACAGATTTGATGTGATGATTGATCTGTAAAATATGAGCCTTGCATCACATGCTCGATGTGTCATCAGTGTAAAAATGGTTCTTTATTTTTACTTGTTACCATCAAACAAAGCATGGTCTCTGGTTACGCCTTTTACATTTGGTCTAAAAGTAATAAAGAAATCTTGCTAAAGTTTTTGACAAGCAACAGTTTAAAACTTTTGAAACTAATACTCTCACTCATACAGCTTATGCTTACTGTGCCTCTTGGGCTTCAGCTGCTGAATCTTCTAGGGCTGAAAGGAGGATCACTGTGGTCAGGCACACTGGAACCTATTCAGACGGGAAAGCTACCCCTGTCAACATACATCTGCAGAAGGGAGATGCATCAGCCACAAGGCGCAAATATCGCATCCATGCTGTAAATGGGCACAACGCAATTACATCTTCAAATGAAGACACCAGAAAAAGAATATTTTGCTCATTGAACTGTTCTAGTTTTTGTGCAGGTTATCCACAGAGATATAAAGCCAGAGAACATACTTGTGAGTGATAAAGGTATTGTCAAGATCTGTGACTTCGGATTTGCCAGGACATTAGCACTGAAGGGGGAGAACTACACAGATTATGTTGCTACTAGATGGTATCGGGCACCAGAGCTTCTTGTCGGTGATATTAAGTATGGCAGGTTGGCATTGTGTGTAGTCTGGTTCTCATCATTTAAAGTTTGTTTTCAAATAAGTGCTAGTCAGTTAGTGTTTTACAAGGGCTAGTAGACTGTAGTGGAGTTACGGCCCTTGTCATTCGCAGCTTTTTATGTGTCACTATTTATTTTTGGTGGCCACATGCATGTTAGATATTCTACTGCCCAGACAGAGATGTGATTTCTATCGGAGATTCATCAGTTAAGTGATTCTGTGTAGTCTTGTTTCTATTTCTGCTATTGTCAATTTATATAATGTGCGGAGAAAGGTGCTCTAGCTGAAGGTTCACTTATCATTTGTGTTTGTGATATTGTGAAACTGGTTCTACTTTTCATTTGTCTTTATTACTTGTATGATGTCCAGACATACAGAGGGAATGGCAGATGACAGGGAGGTAAAAACTGCCCACACAAAAGTGGTGAATGGGAACAGACCTTGAGGCAGACCAAAAAGCTAGTGGAGAGATAATATACAGGCAGAGCTACAAGTACCTGGAGTCACTAGTGGGAAAGAGAAAGCCAGTCACAGAGATAGAGAGAGGTGGATGATAATAGCAGCAAGGAACCTCAAGGGTATGGAATGCTGAGCAAGCAATAAAATTACGAATAAATGACCCTTTTCCATGTCTTAGGCTAAATTCTCATTTAGTACTGGTCCTATAAGGCCATAGCAATGCAAAGATTAAACAGCCTCAAAAGTCTTTGGTTAAGCAAGGAGATCAAAATTCGAATTTTGAGAGCATGCATCTTCCCTGTAGCAACATACGGATGTGAGTCGTGGACTATCTCCCAGTCCTTAAAAAAGAGAATAGGGGCTTTTGAGCTGAAATGCTATAGAAAGATTCTCAGAATATTTTGGACAAAGAAGAGGAGAAATATTAACATCTTGAAAGATCTAAACATCAAGGAAGATTGGCTAATAAACAGCATCCTGTCTCGGAAGCTAAAATATTTTGGTTATATCAGGCGCCACGAGGAATTGGAAAAAATTATAGCAGAAGGCATGGTACCAGGAAGGAGGGCCAGGGGTCGACCGAGACAGAGATGGGCACAGGATATAAGTGACTCCTTGAATATGAAAGTACATGAGACGTGAGAGCTGGCAATGGACCCAGTTTCTTTTAGGCAGTCCATAATGAGAGGGACGTTCTGCAAAGGACCTGCTACATGATGATGATGACTGGACCTATTTTTTTCTTTTAGTTTACAGACTAATCAGAACTTGACGGGTAATGTAGACACTGTTATACCAGCCACTATTACTTTCCAGGACCTTTTCTGTTTTCCATTTAGGCTGGGTCAACTAGGAAGGCAGGTAATTTTTTTTTTTTAAATCCCTGTATAGATCGGGATTCAAACATAACAACTTTTGAGCTAGTCCTAAATACAGCATCAACTTCCTTGCTACCAAATATGACTGAATTATCGGTGAGGATTCTATTTGTGGGCACATCATGTCGATAAGATGTTCACATCAAGCTCAACATAAAACTCAGCTACTACTACTACCACTGCTGCTGCTACTACTACTACTACCACTGCTGCTGCTGCTGCTACTACTACTACCACTGCTGCTGCTACTACTACTACTACTACTACTACTGCTACGATTATGAGAACTACCACTGGTGATGGGATCGCACCTGTGAATAGGCGTTCATTGGCAATCTGTCCAAAATAGTCAAACCGAGTTCTTTTTGGTTAAAAAAAATCTTTAAATTCATAACGATTTTACTTTCACTTGTAAAATTATAGAAACAGCTCTTTTTATTTTTTTTTCTAGACCCCCTGCTAAACACGTGATTTTGAGTCATGTTATCCCATCAGCTGTTTTCATTCTTAGCTTCTGTAGACTCTATATTTACTTAGTTTTCTACCTGTGCAATGTTACTGGTTCTTTGTTAAAACAACATCAATCAAATATTGCTAAAACTGCTAACTTCCTGTTATTGTCATATCTTAGAGCCGTGGACATCTGGGCAATCGGGTGCTTGGTGCCAGAAATGTTGACTGGAGAGCCAATGTTTCCTGGTGATTCGGACATTGATCAGTTGTATCTGATACTAGAATGTGGTGGTATGTTGTTACAATACAGACTATCATTTCTTACTATTAATGTATTTTTACAAAAAGATTAACAAGATAATGAGAAGAGAAAGAGTGAAAGTCAGACAGACAAAAGAAAAAGCTGACCCAAAGGTGAGAGGATCATACACTCAATGATATCGCATCTGGATCAGTCTCTGTCCAAAGAGTAGCTGGCCACTTATGGAGAGCATCCCACTTAGCTCAAATTCCATATTCTTCAGCTATGGACCAGGGTCCCCGAAAAATTGTAACCTGTGAAGTGAATTATCTTCTTTGTCTTCATTTTCACTCTCTCTTTTACCACTTTGGGTGTCAAGGGAGACATAAGGCTCTGCTTCTTGCCCTAAATGCATTGATGCATCATGCTGTTGTAAAGTTTATATGTTATTATCGTTCCATATTGTTCTTGGTCTTCGTCATGCTCTACTGAATTATGCAGTTTGTAAATGACATTCAAAAGAGCAATCCAATGTCTTAAAAGAACAAGGACTCGAAGACAACTTGTCACAAACATCAGAAAGATGCAGTCATCATTTTTCTGGGTCATGTTATTAGAAGAAGGAAACTGAAACATGTTGTGACCACTGGAAAGATCTGTAGAAAGAGAGATAAAGGAAAACAGTATGGGAAGATTCTTGAAAGTCTCTTGGCATGACATGCAGGCGTGTCAACACATAAACTGATACACGCAACTGCAGGTTGTTGAGAGGCATGCTCGCTGACTTTAGTCGGCAAGTCACTTGATGTTGTTGATGAAATGAACACTTATTGATGACCTACATGCCTAAGGAAAAGCTTAACCACAACAATGTAGACACATACACAGACATGACACACACACAAATCCATATTCTCCTAGATCGACTTCTTGCTTTCACATCAGATTTTTTTTCATGTGTAACACCTGCACTGGTAGTTGTTGTGAACTTATTTCCTGTAATGTACTTTTCAAGATCAACAAGAAAGATGATGATAATGATTCTGATTTAATTCTTGTATGTAGTTTGAATGGGAACATACGATACTTTAAAGTTAAAATAGCAAGAGAATACAGAATGCACTGCCTGCAATTCAGAAGGATTCCCCCCATATTATGCTTTGTATAATTTTGATACATTCTGTTATGGGTTCTTATGTGGAAAAGCTCACTGTGGGTTCCAAGACCCCATTTTGATGGAAAAAAAAGTGGGGGGGGGGGGATAGATTCCCTGTCTCTTAACAAGCATATTGTTAAATTTGACTAAGTAAGGTTTTTTGGGGGGAAATTGGATATGTTGGGCCTAAAGCAGATATCGCAGCCTAGTTGTAAACCACAGTGCAATATGCTAGCTGCCATTTGAAAGGCATATGCTGAAGAAGAGAAGCTTGATTGTCTGTCCCAGTTGACAGAGCACTTAATGATGGTGTAAAATTTATTTTACTCTCCTTCATCAAGGTAGTTTGACCAGAAGGCATAAAGAGGTTTTCCGACGCAACCCTTTATTTATTGGAATGAGACTGCCTGTTGTGCGTGAAACTATCAAACTTGAGGACTTGTTTCTGGACAGTTCAGTTTCAGCAGAGAGACTGCAGTTTATAAAGGTAGCCAGAAAGTTGTTTGTTTGTTTGTTTTGTTTTGTTAGGCAATTAATGTTTTGCTGTATTGAGTAATCATTTCATACTTAGTTACATGTCAACATGATTTGTGTTATAAACTGCAGATTCAGAAAATGATGACCTGTTGCCAGAATACTGGTGGTGTCTTGTGCCATTACATTGCATGTGCAGCTACTGATCTGTTGAGCTGCTGCTTCCATTGACAGTGAACTGCGTTTCTAGTGTCAGGCTGTTTGTGTAGGCTCCTCTGACAGCTGCCTTATATATTTTGTATGTGTGCATGCTATTGGCTTTGCTAAGAATGCAGTCTGTGTCAGTTTCTTCACAAGAGACATTAAAGGACATTTTATGTGATTTTCGTCGGCAAGAAATGGAGCAAATGTGGGAGGATTTATTTGCTGAGATTTTTAATCTGTGATTACCTGTCATAGTTTGGTTTGTATTGACCTTTTTAGTCATAATTTTAAAAATTAAGCTTTCTAGTTGTTGTTTTACTTTGAGCTTTATAATGATTGTTTGTTTTGTTTTCAACTTTCTAATCATAGTATTTTTGTGTCTAGCTACTTCTTGATATTAGTTCACTCCTTGCAATTCAAAAGGATCCCCTCACATTATGTTTTGTACATTTTGATACATTCTATTATAGGTTCTGTTATATTGAAAAACTCCCTGAGGATTCTGGGTCCCCATTTTTTGGGAACAAGAATAACCTACTACTCTGTAATAAGTATGTCATAAAAGGCGACTAATTGAGGATTTGCTGAAATTAGATGTATAGATATTGGTGTAGATATTGGAATAGCATTTGAAGCCTAGCTGTAAATCACAACACATTGTATCAACTGCGTTTTTTAAAAGCAAATGCAGAAGAAGGAGAAGATATCAGCTTACCTGCAGTCATTCCTATTCTATTTAGACCTAAAAGAGAGTACAACTGCATAAACCTGTCTACATTGCAGCAATGTTTAGATATCAACCCAGACAATCGTCCAACATGCAATGATCTGCTGAAGCATGACCTGTTTACCAGGGATGGGTTTGACAAGTATTTCTCCATGGAGATGAAGCAGCTGCTGCAGGTCCAGAAGATGCCCTTTGATTCAAAGATCGCCCTAACTGTAAATGAAAATGTAAATGTCAGCTGTAAGCCAAGGGTTTTTCGAAGAAACAAGGCTGAATTTGAGAGAAAAGATTACAGACATGTAAGGATTTTTGTTATTCACTTTCATGTTTTTTTTTATAATTTTTATTATTGCTACAGAAAAATTATCAGAATATTGTGGACGAAGAAAAGAATTACTAATATTCTAAAAGATCTGAACATCAAGGGAGATTGACAAACAAGCAGTATTTTGTCTCAGAAGCTGAAATAGTCTGGTCACAACAAGCGCCACTGCGGATTGAAAATAAATAATAGCAGAAGGCATGGCACCAGGAAGGAGGGTTAGGGGCAGACCAGCGTGAAGATGGACACAGGGTATAAGTGCACGAAGCTGAAGATCTGGTAAGAGACCGAGTTTCTTTCAGGCAGACCGCGATGAGAGCAGTGTTCTGCAAATGACCTGCTACGTGATGATGAATTTCATGTTTATTATTTTGAAATGTAAAAGAAGAAAAACAGATAGATGAAATAACATGTGTAAGAATGTGGGAACGAGGAATATGTGTGGGTTCCGGCAAGGATAGACGTATGAGAGGAAGAGAACAATGGGTTTTTAATCAATGTCCTACAGGAGCATTCAGTGTCTGTACCTTAAAACATTTGCTGTAGGAGATGGAGCATCTTTGGGTATACCTGGGGTGCTATGATGTTGATTTTTACTTCAGTCAGTCAGTCAGTGACATATAAATGTTGATTAGAAAATATATTTAATAAATCTCTGAAGAAAACATTATTACCAAATCTAGGATTCATCCTAGCTGCTCTATATAAAAAAATTTGAATAAAGGAAAGAAATCACTTATCACATCATTGGCACATCTGGTTTACGGTATTAGATCTATATCTTTGATTAATCGGCCCCCTGTGGGTGATGACAGCATCACAGCAGCTGCCTTGACTTCCATAGACATTACTCAGGACCAATTTTATGCTGAGTTAAATTGGCTGATGAGAATACCCCAGACAGATAAAAAAAATAATGAAGATGCCTTGACACAAACTGACTCGTGAAGAGAACTGATTGTCCAGATCAGGAGGAGACAGTCTACATTCTCTGGTCATATCATAAGAAAGTGAAAACTGGAGTATATCAGAAAGTTGGAGGGGGGAAAAGACCAAGAGAGAAGATTATGGACAGTTTAACATGATGGTATGGAATTTCATCTACGTCAGACTTTATCCAAAGTACACGAGACAGAAGGTTGTGGATAGACATGACTACCAACGCCACATGGTATAGACTGTAAAAAGAATCTGTGCCAGGGTCATTGTCTACAAATTTGCCTCAGTGTAAATTAAAACGCTACAACTTCGGGCTGACAGGAAAGTGTCTGGCCACTGTGTTACCGCAGCTCCCAAAGTATATCTCGTTGTATCCTATTGTACATTTACAAATTGGTTCCCATGTTAAAACAGTTGTGTCTCAGCTCTAGTGGAATATAAGTGGATGAAATTATATATTAGTATTTACTTCATTCTCTGCGTTATGTCAGAATTTTTTCAGCATAACAAGTAATTAGAATACATTTTTGATTATTCGAGGTATATGTATATGCAGTGATCCTTGCTGCATTGTCTTTTAAGAGTTACATAGCACAAAGTTCAAATGTAACCAATAGATCTTTCACAAAAACATGAGTTTCTTGTGTTTTACATAAATTCTGAGTAAGACCACAACTATTGTGCTGACAAGTGTTGCAACACATAATGGGTGTGGCTGATCATTTCCAAGTTAATGACTAATTGTAAAGTCGTAACTTATATGGTTAGGGTTGGGTAATTCATGTCCATACTGTAAAATTTGTTTTCTTACCCAACTAAAATTATACAAGTGATGAAAAAACAAACAAAGAGAACATCTGTTTTGGTACAACTGGGCAATTTAAATTTTATTAATGTATAAAATATCAACATCGAGATGAAATAGAAGCCCATACAAAATAAATTATGTTCCCAGGATAAGTCATTACCAAGAAATTATTGAGAAAAGCCGGTATGAATTTGCACTATAATATTCTTTTCTGCAGATGTGAACTTCCAGTTTTTCACATTATCATATAGAAACAGTTCATTGAAAAAAGCTTCTCTGCACTTTGCCAACTCTCCTGTCTCATGTATTGTCACACCCAAGATGTCTCCAATGTCCTCTATCCAGTTTTTTGCTGATCAACCCCTGCCTATTGTTCCAACAACCATTTCAGTTCTTTCGTAGCTACAGTTTGCTAGGTTGAAAAAAAAAAGTAGGAATTGAAAAATAAAGAGATCAATACCTGAATGGTTTACCCACATGAGGTGGGACAAAAAGAGAACAAAAATACACTGACCTGATCCATGATTCTTTTGCTTGTGCAGGATGGTGAACTAGGAATAACCTGTGTGCGTTTCCTATGCCACGTTCTGGGGAAAATAAAAATAGACTCCCCGACTGCCATGTTGTAAGAGTTGACTAATTTGAGGCTTCTTTCGAAGTTAGAGTGCATTTTTCTGAGAAGCAAGGAACCTGAATACAGGTAAGCCAGATTTGTAAAGCAAATGGGCATGCAACACTGCGGTTTTGGAACAAGACCAAAGTCCAGAGGTGGGTGAACAGCCAGAATTTTCTGCCGGAGTTTTGAGTTTACAGCTAATGAACACACAAAAAAGAAGAACTGGGACCACCTGTACTTATCAGCAGGGCGCATGATGATGGTGATGATGAAAGATAACTTAAGTTACTCAGTTTGTGTTAAATCAAAGATGTGGCTGTTATTGTTGTTTATAGTTGCTGTTTCTTAAAGTTGCCTTTTCTTGAAAAAACTAGAAAGAGGGGAAACAAAACCTCCCCCCCCCCCCCTTCTTTTTTTTCCTAATTTCTTCCTATGTTTTCTTTATATTGGCACCCCTGGATTACATTTTTTTTTCAGGTATCCAGAGGAAGGGTTCAAACCCAAAACCTGCCAGAAAACAAGGAAGCTATCCATTCAGCCACTTACTCACCACTTCTTGCAATAACTCAAACAATAACAAAACTACTGAATGCTCACCAGCTTGCGTTGGCTCTAAAATCATCTACAAGAACAGGTCACACAGCAACTCCTTAGAGTTACAGCCCTTCACCAGCGGTGACAGCCTTGACCCAAAGAAGGATGTGAGATATTTTCTGTCCCCATTGCTGTGTCCAGTGAAAGGCAGCTCAGTAAAGCTCCATTCACAGTAAGATTATAGTACTTAAGCTGTTTTCTGGTTTTTATTTTTCTGTTACCCTTAAAAAGAGTGATTGGCATGCTGTGTTTTGGTTTACAGCTATGCTTTGATATCTGTGCCTTTTGACCCAGCACATACGATTTCAGAAAATCTCTAGTTTCCCTGTGTGGGTTTGGAAGCCCCATTTGGGAGGATAAATAATAGACCTATTGACTTCTAACAAGTATGAAAAGGTGACTTCTTCTTCTTCTTCTTTGATCAATCTGTCAGAAAGTTTATATCAGGAGGCCAGTAGCTCTAGTGAAAGCTATTGTGCAGTCCATATCCTCTCGTGTACCATACAGCTTTGTTTTCATTGTGGTTGGAACACGCCAGATTGCATCTCTGGTGTCAACAAACAGTTGACAGTGTTGGAGCACATGCTCAGCATTTTCCGTGTCACATGACGTGCCTGTCTTTATTAGGGTTTCCCCTAGTAATCAAAGACACTCTGAAATGACTTAATGTTAGATGGTGGCTCGCATTGGTCTAGAAGGTACTCCCTAGATACCCCGGTAGTGTGCATGAGATGTATACTGGCACTGCCCACTATTGCCGATAGGTTCAAAGTTCCTCAAGCAAAGTCATATCTCAGAGTAGCTGCAGACAAGAAACACCTTCTGCATGAAACCCTGGGTAGAGCTAAGGGTCACAGACTGAAAAGAGGAAGGTCTTGGATGGCACAAGATGATTGGACATGTGTGCAGCCTCGATAAATTTAAGTGAGGAGAGGAGTGGGTCAAAGTGTCCGATCAAGTTTCAAACTTGTCACTTCCTATCACTTTGAGTTGTAAGTGCAGGTACTATTCAGCTGGTGCTGCAGAATCAGAAGTTAAAAAATGATTCATGATAATTCCCACCCAAGTGATGTGATTATCTATACAGATGGCTCTATGTTGAGGGGCAGATGAAGTGCATAGGTTTTCTTAGCCAAAGTGCAGCAAAGTCTGGTATATGATATCACAATGTCAGGTTTGAGAAAGGAGGTGGAGACAGTCACTGCTGCCTTCTGCTGGCTTGAGAATCAGCTGTACACACAGGCCGTGATTGTAACTGATTTGCAGAGCATGTTTAGAAAGGTGGAGACAGGCCTGCTCCTTGCAGAGTGGCAAGCATCACTTCAGAGGTTTTGGGTAGTTAGGGCCCTTTGGATATTTTCTCCAGGTCAAGCCAGTGTGTTGGGAAATGAGCAGGCAGTAGAGTGGCTGGTTCTGCACCGCTTGGTGGTGAACTGATGTATGACAAGCTGGATGTTGTGAGGTCTCTTTGGGAGTGATTAAACAGTGCGGAGGCACAGATTGAACATTACGGTCTGGGAAGAATGGGGCTGCAAGGAGTTAAAAGGGAATCTGGCTGGCGCTCAACACTCAGGGGAAGGATGAGACGGATATACAATCAGACAATTACTGGTGCTATCAGATTTGGAACTCTTTGCCTGCTGCTGAAGATGGAGACAGAGTGCTTATGGGGGTGACCCAAGTGCTTTGAGGTTGATTCTTATTTTAACGTTGAACATTCTTAGAAAATAATGAGTTCAAATGACATTTGCTTGGTTCTAAAAGAGTTTAGTAATAACTTATATCAAGCGCCATGACGGATTGGAAAATATTATAGCAGGAGGCATGGTACCAGGAAGGAGGGGCAGGGGCCGACCAACACGAAGATGGGCACAGGATATAAGTGACTCCTTGAGTGTGAAAGTGCATGAGGCAGACAGTGTTGAGAACGACGTTCTTCAAAGGACCTGCTACTTGATGATGATAAATAATTTATTAGAAAATAATGAGTTGAAGTGACATCTGCTTAGTTCTGAAAGATTTTAGTAACAGCTGCTCAGGGTAAAATGAGTCTGGGACTGAGAAAATGTTTGTTTTTTTGTACAGCTGAAAGGGTTTCCTCATGCTGGTCATTCATCTCACATGTCCAACAGAGCCCATAACAAACATGTGCTGAAAGCATGTGGATTCAGCAGACCTTTTCAGGATCATCATAGTAATAGACCCTGCTTGCAACAGAAACTTTCGGAAATGAATTCCTCTCAGAACGGATGCATGGAGAAGCCACAGTGCACAGCTGTATTCTCTCTTGGTGGTTATGGGGGAACACAACCTAGAGTTCTCCCTGACATAAGTGGAGCAAATGGTGAGATCATTTTTAGTTTTCTTTTTTTTTAAGGAGCTTCAGATGAAACTTCAAAAGTGTGATAGAAATTATAATAACCATGCTGTTGTCTTGTAACCTGTAAACACTGTTGTTAAGGATGTCATGAGTGATAAGCTCATGGCATTATTGTACAGGATATCACTTTACTAGATTTCCATTAGTCATTGAATTTCTACAAGTTACACCCCTTCATTGATTTAAAAAAATAAAAAAACATAACAGAACACAGTTCCTTTTTGGTTCTTGTCAGGAGTGGGGTGGCCGTGTTTAATCTGTCATTATGACGTCACGATGTTCATCTGCGCCGTGATATCAAATGCTTAACACTCCTGACATCCTTAACAACAATACTGACAGTTACAAGACAATGGCATGATTATTTTTTTTTTTGTAACACTTAAATGGTTTCACATATGAATCCCCTCATATATTCCATGTCATTTGGTATTGGCTCTTGTAACTCTCTTAAAGGAAAGGCAAGAGAGACATATAACCAGACTGTGACCGGTACCATCAGTATTGGAACTGCGCTGGCTGCTGAAGATGAGGACGGGGCACACATAGGAATTCCCCGACAGTGTTGTGATGTCAATTCTTAACTCAGCTCAGTTCTACGGAAGAACTGGTCTAGGAAAATCCTAGCACTTCACCCCAGGCCGTGACTCGTGAATTAAAATTTGCACTGATGGTAATTCCCCCCCCCCCACCCCATTTACCGCCCCCCCCCCCCAATCTGATCTATAAATCTACTGCTTTAGTCACAAATAATTGTATTCTTAGTGTTATTAATTTTTTTTTTAAATAAAAAATGTATACTTTGGTTATGTGCTGCCGAAACTGATAAGAGCTAAAATTATTGGGCATGAGCGCAGGACTTTTTGATTGTAATGTAGACGTGATACCAACTACACTAGAAATTCAAATGAAAATAGAATTGAAAATAGGACCAGTATTGTACACGTCTGTTGTATAGTATACACACACACAAAAAACATTAATTTTAATCATCATGTCAGTATGTGACCATATCTTCTTCATGATCCTTGGGTATCCGTTTCATTCCAGTCGATGTAGATGGCTGGGTCAGATGGTCAGCCTTGCTCACGGCCAAAAGTACACATGTGCGTGGCGTGAAGAAAACCTAACTCATAACTCACTCATTTCAAAGTGATCCTTACTATTACTCCTTGAAAGAAACTCCAATAATTCTTCATCAACTTTAATTAACCAATTTTCTTGCTATTTTGTATTTTTTTTAAACAGACTAACGCAAAACCAGAAATATATTTCTGGGCAAAAAATACACCATTCACCGACCACACTTCTGTGGTAATCAAAGCTACAGGATAACATGGAACGCATCTAAATACACCTAAACACACGTTATGAGGGTTTTAATTGTATGTAAATGGGTCAATTTGATCAGATTTAGGTAATGTCTATTGCCATTTCACCCCCGAGAATTACGGTTCTTAGCGATCTGTAAGAAAGTCGAAGACATATTAATACGTCTTTAGCAGTGAGGGCACAGAAAACGGAAGACGTATAAATAAGTCGTTATCAGTCTACGGGTCTGACGTATATATGCATCCATAGCAGTGAAAGGGTTCAAATAAAAAGTGTCTTTTAAATTTCAACAGCAGTAAAATAAAAAGTGTCTTTTGAATTTTAGCTGCATAAAATTAAAAGGGGGCTTGCCATCCAAAATAATACTTTTTAAATCTCGGGTGGCCATCCAAAATAATACTTTTTAAATCTCGGGTGGTTAGAGCTTCACATAGCAGCCTGGAGGGGAGCGCATAAAAGGAATGAAATAAGCCTATGTAATTTATAAATCTACCCCTTGGTAGGGTTTTGAGCCAGTGTCCACCAGTCAGGCAGACAAGCATGCTAGCCACTGCACTACTGTGGCTTCTAAACTGAGAGGGTTTTACAGTTTTTAGTTTTTTAAATTCCACTACAGTAAAATAAAAGGTGTTTTTTGAATTTCAACTGATAGCAAATATTAGGTGTCTTGGATTTCAGCTGCAGTAAAATAAAAATGAAAGTCATGAATTTCATCTGAATGAAAATAAAAGGTTTCTTTTAAATTTCAACTGCATTGAAATAAATTGTGTAATTTAAATTTCAAATGCATTAAAATGTGGAAACATCAAAATATTTACATGAAATTAGCGAACCTTCACTAACACAGGTGGGCGAATTCAAACATCTTGTAAGTATCTTCATGTCAGGCGGCAGACTGGACAGAGAGATCGAGTCTAGAATCCAACAAGCAACCATTGTTATCTGTCAGTTTTCCCATAATACTGAAGCATCTAGCAGTAACTATGGAAATGAAAAAACAAAACAAATCATTAACACAATCTTTGAACCGACATTGTGTTACCAGTGCCAAACCTTGGCACTAATAAAAGAACAAGATCAGAAAACATTGTGAAATGAGATGTTTGAGAAAAACAGTCAGCACAAATAACATGACAAGAAGAGACCATAAAAGAAATGAAGATATCATTAGAATGGTGGGAACAATACCAGTAATTAGATTTATTGAAAAACAAAGACTAAAATGGTTTGGCCACCTGGTCAGAATGAACCCACTGTCACCGGTTGCAACAGCATACAACATGAGAATGAAAACATCAAGAGATAGAGGAAGACCAAGAGGAAAATGAATAGATGGAGTTAACATTTTGCTGAAGCTCAACATTATCACCATGCAGCAAGCTAACAAGCACACACTATCCTGAAAATCAGTCATTACCCATGC